CAGTCTGGAGATGTTTCCTTTGACTGCCAGTGGGGACGTTGTTGATGGTCACAGCCACATATCATGGTCTAAAATTCATGTGGGAGAGCTCAGACGAACAGGGTTCAACAGTTTAAGTGGCTCTATGATCGCTAAGCGAGCTGTTCATATAATGTGCAGGAAAGTGCTGCTGCTGTTTTAAATTGTATTTTATCTCTGTTCCTCAGAGGGATGGTACTGAGTGGGAATATTGTGAGATTTGCCATTGATGTAGACAGTTGATTTACTTCTGTTGCTTTAGAAAAACAAAGAAATTCAAACAACAAACGAGCTTGTGGTTTCTTTTGTTTCTGTGACTGGCTTCCTAACAGCGCTACAATTTTAAGGGGGAGAAGAGGGGAAGACGCTACAATGTACAGGCTGAGTTGAGTGGGAACATCTGCATGAAAGGCCACAGACACATGCCCCCCTCGCCGTCTTCGACTCACACACAGACGCTGGTGGAGGCTTGCGAGCGCGGCGGATATCACACTGGAAAACAGCCTGATTGTTATCCGCACAGCCACTTTAGTTGCGTTAGTCACATTCACCATGATAAGATCTTTTGCACTCCAGGTTGGCGGGTTGCCAGCGGGGTTAATCACTCGTCTTACTGGTAATTCGACCAATATGGTGCTTGCCGGGCGAGCTCCCTCTCTTGTCTTATTTGATACCGACCTCTCGCTCAGCGCTCGGTTTAATTAAATAAGCCTCTTTTTTTTTCAGGCCTGGTAAATCTTTGCTTTTCTCTTCTCGTTAACATGCATGAGGTCTTGTATCATCCTCGTCCACAGATGGCCACGTAACTCAACCCAGACAGAGGCACCGTAGGAATGAATAGAAATGAGGGAACACACACGAAACGGAGGTCAGGCCTGCACCTGCAGAACCTCTCACTTCCCTTTATTGGGAGAAAATAAGGTCAGTGTGGACAACTAAAAGATGGTTGCACCTGTATGAGAAAAGAAAAAGCCCCCCCCCACACACACCTTCACCAGAAGGGTTACTGAAACCTACACTCTTTACACTGGCTTACATCCGAAAACACAGTGACAGCAACTTTTCCCTCATGATTCATTCAGAAAACCTTGAGGTCAACTCTTTTTCCTTGTGATGCAATGGAGTGGTGCTGTGGTCGACGTGAGAAGTCAAAACAAACTCCATTCTCATCCCCAGCGCTGCTCTCTGTGACGGGGAGAGAATGGAGGCAGCGACAGTGCCCGCCTCGGCCGTGGTGGTGGCGGCAACGTCTCCGGGTCAAGACGACAGAGTGAAAGAGAGAGACAGGGAGGAGGAGGAGGATGGGGGGGGGTGTGGATACTGGCTGGGGGCCAAGGCGAGAGGACACCGAGTTCAGACGCAGAGAGGTGCTTCTGGATAGAGGCCAACAGGTGGGCCTGTTGTGTCTGAGCGGGCGGGTGTTTTCATCTCCTTCATTGTGAGTGTGTGACACTGTATCTTCATGCAGCCATCGGCACACAGCGGCAGAAATGGACTCTATAACCCCCGACTTGTTTATACTCTGCAGGATGGACACAGGAATACTTGTTCAGGCTCGTATGCCGCTTCTCGCCTCTATGCATCCTTCAAACTAAACAATCTGGGAAGTGAAAATCACATGTTGACCTGCTCAAAACTCACGTCCACACTAAGGTCATACACATTTCTGGCAGGATGTTGCTGAGCCGAGGCGGTAGGCCACCCTGATCCTTATGCATCATGACGAGTTTAGATAGATGACAACATTAGCAAAAGTTAAACTGGTGCAATTTGAGTAATTGTCTCCAACACAAGGGACAAATGAACATACAGTGCTTTGCATGAGATGTAAAGATCTAAGATTAGATTGAGTACATAGATAATGCTTGTGTTTGTCATCGTGGTTTATTTTATTTTAAAGGGGGATCCTTTACGCGTCTGCTGAGCCCAGTGAAAACAACTGGGGAAACATCTGGTATGAAGGGCAGACGCTGAGAGTGCTTTTTTATTACTGTGTTTACATCTTTGTTCCCCGGCCTTACGGAGCACGAACAGTCCGTACTGCTCCATGTCGGCAACAATACAGGAAGTCTTCCTGTCTTTATGACTTCCTCCACGGCGCAGGCCACAGGAAACTGGCTGGATGTGAGACGCGGAAATAGCTTTATCTCCCATAGCAGATGTGGGAATGTTAATGCCGGCGCTATTCCATGCTCCTAAATTGCTTCCTTCCCATCATTCAAAACTTTTTTGCAAGTATGTAGCAGAGGTTGGACGTGAGTGAAGGTGCAGAAAGTGTTTCTACAGAATTTGAGATATGTGACTCAGCCAGATTTAGTTTTTTTTTCTACCACTTTCCCCTTCAAGTTGCCACAATAAACAACTTAAGTAATAGAGTTTTAGCTTAAGTAAACCGACTGCATGTTGACTGAGCCCTGGATTACAGCCGGTATGCTGCAAACTGCCTCTGCGAATCCTCCAAACTTTCCCCCTCTGCAGTTCATATGGGTTTTAGGGCAAAGTGAATCACTGTAAACTCAATAAAGTTAGTTTACACACACACACGCAGTCATGGTCAAACCAAGTGGATCCGATGGTTGGGTCCATCCGCTGCATGGCATGTGAAGTAATTTGAGCCACGAATACCAAAGCAACTCTTTTTCTAATGTATTTCCAGCTCTCTTTCCTCGCCGCCCCCTCTTTCACATAGTGTACTTAGCCAAACAAAAAGCCTTTCTCTGTCTTACCCTCCCTCCCCTTCCTTTCTCCCCCCCCTCAGCAACCAACGCTCACCCTCTCTCTCTCCCTCGCCTCATTGGAGAATGTGTGCCGTGATTATGGATTTGTCTCTGTTACAGGCTGCATGCAAAATTAGCTCTGTCACTCCGTAGCTGCTGGCCTGCCTGAGAAAAAAGGGAGGTTTAAACTGTAAAAAACAAAAAGTGCCACATGGAGTGAGGGAAAATGAGAAAGGGAGGAGGAGGAGGAGGTGAGGAGGGTGTTTTGGGGGAGTGACGGTGGTGGGTGGGGGGACTGTGAGACCTCTGTGCTTTTTTTTTTTTCCTTGAAAGCTCCCTAAAAACCACAGACACATGGTACAGAATTCCCCTCACAGTAGGAGAAGAGGGGGGGGGGAGACACACACTGTCTGTGATAAACACACACACAGGGAGAATATTATAGGCCAGCACACACACTCTGAAAGGTAGGGAGTGTGTGAACCAGGAACACTCGGCTGCACAAAAGGCAGCGCAGAAAGAGGGGAACTTTGAAGGAGCCGGCAGGCCAACGCCTTGACAACATAACATCATAGCACCTTAATACCGCTCAGCCCTATGGGAAAGTGGATGGTCCCACTTTCCACGGGTATTGGTATGGTGGTAGGGGTGGGGGGGTTAATCCAATGTACAATGTGTTTAACTTTGACTGACGGATCGCTCAAACCCTCCCACCCTCTCTTTGGGGCCCCTTTGAGCCCGTAGATTGAGGACAAGCGTAGAACTGGTGTTTAGGTGGCGCTGGCTCACTGGGGAAAAAGGTGAAGGGTCAGGTGTTGTGAATGGACCTGTGACACGAGTTTAGGGTGGACCCAATGCCCTCGAAAGCTGAACGCCTGGTTGGCTGATTGATAAGGGTGGAAGCAAAAACATCAATTTTGCTCTTAATTGTAAGCTTTTATCCATAACAGCAATTCTGCAATTTATCTGATCCTCTTTAAATTCCTTTCGCTTCAAAGTACAGCCCAAAAGGACACCACAGCATGAGAACTACCAACATGCAGTACTTGATGTCACGTGTGGTGAAACAAAATGGACGAGTAACGCCATCTAGTGGCTCTTCTTCCCTCTGCTCTTGCTGTATATGTAGATCAACTCACTAGAGGTATAATGCATAGCCAGTTCAGTTTCTATTAACATAAATAAATAAGAGTGTAGCAACAGAAGGACAAGCACATTCTTGTGATTGAAACTAACAAATTCCATGACGGTCTGTATTTGCTTCATGGCTTTAATCAGTAGGAACAAACCACTCAATTGCTTGTTTTCCTCAACAGCTCTTTATTAATGGTTTGGCAAAGTCAGTAAAAGACCTTCAAACAAAAGGGGAAGGACCAGGTTTTTCCATTTCATAGCGTGTTAACCCAGAGACCAGCATGCTGAAACACTCCTTGTAAGCTCGAAGGAGGAGGTGGAAAATCTGTGTCAGCACGCTGAATAGCCACGGCCTGCCTGGGAATGAGGACACAAAGGAATGGGAATACAATCAATTTATAAAAAGCCTCAAGTATGACCTTCTTCTGCTTCCCCTCCTCGTACTCGACATTACTTTATGCAAATCGTTTGTTAAAATCAAGCAAAAGTTATGCTCAGAAAACCACATTTTGAACTAAGCTTTCTTCCAGAGGAGAAGATTTTTTTAGGTCAGTGTTGGAGAATGTTTTAATAAAAAAATGCTGTGTTAGCAGTCAGGACTTATAGAACATATTTTTAAATAATTCCCAGTATCTGCTTGTCATGCCAGATGAGTGTTCTTTACAATGAATGAAACCAATCTGAGGAAACTATTTAAAAGGCAATTTATTTCCTAAAGTCTAAGGTGTCTTCAGATGCCTTGTGTTGTCCAACAAACTGTCCAAAACTCAAACATATTGAGTTTCATATCATAAGATAGATTAAAGCAGGCACCAGTCGCCATACCGCTTAATTCTCTCTTGATCGAATAATCGGTTAATCAACTAATTGTTTGAGCTCCAATAAACCAGCAGAGACATAAAATGTCAAACTGTTCCCGTAAACAAGCTACAACCAAAACTAACAATTATTTAACATAATGTTTTAACATCATATAATTATTTCTTACCAAACTTGTCTGATATAGAAATGAGTGAGGTTAAAAAAAAAAAAAACACCATTAATTCAGTAATTTTAAGAACAGAATCTCAAATACTTTTCCATCTTTTATTGGGATTGTTCCAACCACATGACAATTTGAACACGTTTCTCTCACGGCTCTGTGTGGGTCATCGACTTGAAGGAGATGTTCCCGGTTGATATCCGTAGATACTCCAGCTCCAACAAGTCCTCGATCAGGCCCCGACTCTTTGTGGCGGCGGTTGACAAAACATCAGACACATCAAAACCCCCGCTTCCACTTCCTTCATTACCCAGGAAGAAATCGAATGTTTTCGTGTCATCGTCAACTTCCTCACTTCCGACGGCCATCTTGTTTTCCGCAACGTCTTCCGGACTTCTGCTCGTGTTGTCTCCACTACGCACGGCAACTTCCTCACTTCCGA